GCTGCTTGCGATAACCTTCTTTGTACCTGTACTGTGGGGTGAAAGAACATCACAGGCTTCACGTTAGCTCTTCTCTCTCCCCTGTGACACTACTCAGTGCACACTTTTGCTGACAACTGCTTTTTCTCTGCATTTTGAGGACCACCAGGTGAACAGGCACCCTGGGACTCCCTAGTTCTACATGGTGCAGCTATTCCATCCCTCCCCATGTCTACAGAGGGCCAAAGGAGTTCCACACTGAAGATCCAACCAAGCTACCTGTGGAACCTGGAGCAGCTCATGGACTCCACCACAGAAGGTCACCACCCTTCCCAAGCACCTCTCGTGGCAGAAAACATCTGGCCTGCAAAATGTGGCAAAACCCCAGCACTGATTCAACAGAGGAACTGGAATTCTGCCTGCACTGCCCCATCTGCACTCACCCACATGGCTCTCAGTTGCTGACACACTGTACTGCACCAGGTTCTCTTGGCTAACACTGAAGGACCCTAACATTTCAGGCCTGGGGTACATCCTAGCAGCAGACTTCTAGGTACTGGGCTTGGGAAGTGAAAAGTGACAGCACCTTTCCCTCCAACCTTGTGGTTTCTGAAGTGTCCAGTAAATATCATCATACACTCAGCTTATCAACATAAATGAAGTCCACAACCCCCAATTACACAGCATCACATAAAACAGAAAACTCAGCTGCTGCACAGCTGCCTTCTGAAGAGGTACTTGGCAGTAAGAGTGTGGATACAGTAAAGATTGCCCTAAGAAAACTGAATCTGCCCCAGGATGGATGAAAAAAAAAAAGATCAATGTCCCTCTTTAATATAAAATACGCCTTTTCATGCCCAACTGCATAGACTGAAGGTCATGGCGGTGTAAACTTATAGATCTGAAGGCAATATAAACCTCAAAAATTTTTTGGCTGATCTGAGAGTATAAGCCAGGAGGAACAATGTCTTGCTCATGTCCATAAGGCAGCTTCAGCTGTCAAGTTCTTCACACCACCTACAAATTCCTTCCCAACACCGCTTACCCATACCATGTACACACAATCACTAGCCAGTGCTACACAAAAAAAGGCGATGATAGAATAACTGAAAAGCTAAGGACTGCTGAAAGGCTCTGTAGCCTCAATTCTTCTGAGACAGTAACCTTTAGAGCAAGCACCTCAGAGAGTGCCAGTAGAAGTGCCACGTAGGGTGTCCCTCTACTTACATCACTTGCTATATCTCTGGAAGCTTTTGCAGCCTTGATGGGAATGGCATCTGCTCGCAGGTCATGGCCCTTCTTCTTCTCTTCTTCCATGGCAAGCTTGTACAGTTTCTGAAAGAAAACACGAGCGTTGCCCATGTGCCTCAAACAACACGGCCTCCTGCACCACCACGGGCTCTTTAGACCCCACTGAAACACCCACCTCACTGAGGTTCATTTGGTTCTGATGCGCTAGCAAAATTTCAGGTGTGTCTGGCATTATGTGAATGCTCGTTTTATCTTTCTCCCAAGCCGACGTGTAGAGGCGCTGAAAAATAGAGCACCACGTGAAGGAAGATCTCACAAGCACAGGCAAACACACTCAGAGACTGAGAGGGATGAAGGGGCTGCAGCAGGAGGGGCACCTCTTTGCACAGTCTCATGCACCCGGCCAGTGCTCAAGCACTGCAGGAGACCGCAGCAGGAGTCAGCAGCAAAGGGGCTGCCCTCCTTTGAAGTCCACCCATTTGCTCCACCCCACCAWGGGCACAGAGGGCACCCAACACCATGGGCACATCCTGATGACCCTGCTGAACGATGCTACCTCTCATCCTAGTGAATTCTGCTGTGCTCTGCTGCCCCTGCGTCCTCCTAAGGCCCCCATTTCCTCCCAGCTGCAGAGAGAGGCACAACTCACGTGGTTCATAATCTCAGAGTTGTGCTTCGCCAGGGCCATGGGCATAGAGTCCGGAAGGCTCGTGAATTTGATGGTGCCCGGGTGTTGCCGGTACTTCTTGTCACTCAGGATGAGGCCGGCTCTCTTGTTCTTCTCATCGTCCAGCGAACCGCTTGGCGTCCAGCCAATGCCCCTCAGCCACTGCAGGTCCGACTTGTACACATTCTGAGGGGAGACACAGGCACATGGAGCACCTCAGCAATCTCCTCCATCCACACAAACCTCCTTCCCAACAAGGGCAGCAGAAGCATCAAGCAGGCAGAGCCCCTGTGTTTAGCCTTGCAGACAGCAGGATAGAATCCCCGTACGCTCAGCACACCAAGACAAAGGTGCCTGATGCAAACTGTGATCCTCATGTATGACTCACACAACCTCTGCCCTCATGGGGCCCACTCAGAAATACCCAGGAAAGCCAAGATGTTCCCCTGCTGAACACGGTCACCCCCACTTCAATAACATTAGATTTATGCTCCTCCCTCGTACCTCCTCCACCAATGCACCAAACACAACTGACACATCCCATGGGAACACATCCATAAAAGAATAACTTACATCACTCTGCAGGTCATACACTTTCCTGGCCTGTACAAYATCRTTTTGGTCTGGCAGACAGGTCCATCGATGCAGGGGATGCTTGTAATCCGCATCGCTGACCAGCTCCTGGCATTTCTTTGCCAACACAATTCCCAGCATGTCCACSGGGCTRCTGAAGTGGGTCTTGGWCTTCTCAAAGGCTTTCTTGTACTCCCTGTCACTCTGGATCTTGGCTACGTGCATAGACCACATCATCTTGGGGTCGTCCTCTATGTTGCGTGCTCCAATATGGTGCCCCAGCTGCTTGCGATAACCTTCTTTGTACCTGTACTGTGGGGTGAAAGAACATCACAGGCTTCACGTTAGCTCTTCTCTCTCCCCTGTGACACTACTCGGTGTAAATCCACCTTACAAGGCCTACGAGGTGCAGCACTTCCACCCTCCTCCATGCCTACGCAGAACAATGGGGGCTCAATCCAACTCATCCAGCAACCCCAACCAAGCCACCCAAGGAACCAGCAGCAGAACTGAATCCAGCACAGCGAGTCACCACCCTTCCTAAGCACCCCTACTGGGGGCAAGACTGTGCATCCGCATCCAAAATATGTCGAAACAAAACACACTGCTTCAACAGCCATATTGGACTTCCCACTGTACTGCCCCGTTTGCATCACCCACATGGCCCAAAGCAGCTGACACTGCACCCCACCGGGCTCTTATTCCCTGCTGCTGAAAGGCCTGGAGTGAGTAGTCAGCTGCTGGCATCCAGACAGTGAGCTTGGGGAGTGGCAGCACTTTTCCCTCCACCAGGCAGTTTCTGAGCTGTTCCAGTTTGATTCATCATATACTAATCTCATGTCTTTATACAAAGGGAACAATCCTCAAACAATGAGCAAACTACAAATTCCTTGGCAGTATAGATTGCCTGCAGCATCACGCACAACCACAGACAGCTGCTACACAAACAAGACTCTCAAGTACTCTATGGCCTCCACCACTCCAGGACTACAGAGCATCTGCTTTACGGACAAGCACTACAGAGAGTGCCAATAGAGTCCTACGTAGGGTGTCCCTCTACTTACATCACTTGCTATATCTCTGGAAGCTTTTGCAGCCTTGATGGGAATGGCATCTGCTCGCAGGTCATGGCCCTTCTTCTTCTCTTCTTCCATGGCAAGCTTGTACAGTTTCTGAAAGAAAACACGAGCGTTGCCCATGTGCCTCAAACAACACGGCCTCCTGCACCACCACGGGCTCTTCAGACCCCACTGAAACACCCACCTCACTGAGGTTCACTTGGTTCTGATGCGCTAGCAAAATTTCAGGTGTGTCCGGCATTATGTGAATGCTCGTTTTATCTTTCTCCCAAGCCGACGTGTAGAGGCGCTGAAAAATAGAGCACCACGTGAAGGAAGATCTCACAAGCACAGGCAAACACACTCAGAGACTGAGAGGGATGAAGGGGCTGCAGCAGGAGGGGCACCTCTTTGCACAGTCTCATGCACCCGGCCAGTGCTCAAGCACTGCAGGAGACCGCAGCAGGAGTCAGCAGCAAAGGGGCTGCCCTCCTTTGAAGTCCACCCATTTGCTCCACCCCACCATGGGCACAGAGGGCACCCAACACCGTGGGCACATCCTGATGACCCTGCTGAACGATGCTACCTCTCATCCTAGTGAATTCTGCTGTGCTCTGCTGCCCCTGCGTCCTCCTAAGGCCCCCATTTCCTCCCAGCTGCAGAGAGAGGCACAACTCACGTGGTTCATAATCTCAGAGTTGTGCTTCGCCAGGGCCATGGGCATAGAGTCCGGAAGGCTCGTGAATTTGATGGTGCCCGGGTGTTGCCGGTACTTCTTGTCACTCAGGATGAGGCCGGCTCTCTTGTTCTTCTCATCGTCCAGCGAACCGCTTGGCGTCCAGCCAATGCCCCTCAGCCACTGCAGGTCCGACTTGTACACATTCTGAGGGGAGACACAGGCACATGGAGCACCTCAGCAATCTCCTCCATCCACACAAACCTCCTTCCCAATAAGGGCAGCAGAAGCATCAAGCAGACAGAGCCCCCATGTTCAGTCTTGTAGACAGCAGGACGGAATCCCCTTATGCTCAGCACACCAAGACAAAGGTTCCTGATGCAAACTGTGATCCTCATGTATGACTCACACAACCTCTGCCCTCATGGGGCCCACTCAGAAAAACCCAGAAAGCCAAGATGTTCCCCTGCTGAATACAATCCCCATCCCCTGACACAGCAGACACATCCCATGGGAACACATCCATAAAAGAATAACTTACATCACTCTGCAGGTCATACACTTTCCTGGCCTGTACAAYATCRTTTTGGTCTGGCAGACAGGTCCATCGATGCAGGGGATGCTTGTAATCCGCATCGCTGACCAGCTCCTGGCATTTCTTTGCCAACACAATTCCCAGCATGTCCACSGGGCTRCTGAAGTGGGTCTTGGWCTTCTCAAAGGCTTTCTTGTACTCCCTGTCACTCTGGATCTTGGCTACGTGCATAGACCACATCATCTTGGGGTCGTCCTCTATGTTGCGTGCTCCAATATGGTGCCCAAGTTGCTTCCGGTAAGCTGTTTTATATTGATACTAGGGGAATGAAATCAGAAAGAATTATTCTCTGTTTTGGATTTTTTATTTCTGCTTTGTAAGTTATCTTTTCAAAATCTCGAAGCCTATGAGCACATAGTTTCATATATTATATTTTGTTGGCTTACTGTCATGTTAAGTCATAATTTGTAATATTTATGGTAATCCTCAACCATATTTTTAACAATTTTATTTATCTCCCACCATATATCATATATTAACTTTTAATATTTATTTTCTTTTTATATATTGAATCTTCTTTTTTTTATATTATTTTAACATCCCTAAGAATAATGTATGCACTTGCAAAGTGAGCTACCTAAATTTTGAATGCTATACTTGCTTCTCCTAAATAAAAAGACATCTTACTGTAAAGATTTTTATCAGCTTAATGTCATATTATTTCCTTTGTTTCCTTTCAATAAAACTCTTACCTCACTAGCTATTTCTCTGGATGCCTTTGCTGCCTTCAGTGGTATGGCATCAGGAGGAAGATCATAGCCTTTTTTCTTCAGTTCTTCATATCCTAACTTGTAATGTTTCTGTTCAATAGAGATTCAAATTAATATTGATATAAAAGGTGAAATTATTGTGTCTTTAAGCTAGAATTTTACTTCTCTGCTATATTACGAGATTTCAAATAAATCTTCATTCATATAATAAAGTCCAATAGCTTAATTCATATTTTTAACTTATGGGAGAAGAGATTTCAAAATTAGTGCCAACAAATTATCAGATTAACTCATCTGTGATCGATGCTGCTTTTTATTTGACACACTGAATAACAGAGCTTACTGCATAGATGATACAAGCCACTGATTCTCTCTTATAGTTTCAATCACAATTATCTCTTCTCTTGAATACTTAGAATAGATCTGCCAACATTTCTTTACCTTTTGCATGTATTTTGTATCTGTTCCATTATAACAGATAATTTGTTGTAATATTACGTAATTCTAAAAATATAGTTCAATATAATCTTAAATTTTAACAAAACAAGAGTTCATAGATACATATCCAGTGATATTTAGACACTTGTTGAAGGGCATACATGTGGACTTGATAATCTTGAGGGTCTTTTCCAATCATAATGATTCTATGATTCTATATGCAGTGATTCGGTTGACATTAATATGATCAGTAGGGATTAAAGACATGTATCTGAAAACAGCTACCTTGTGTTGCATATTTTTTTCTTTTCTTTTTTTTTTTTTTTTAATATTCCAGCAATTCCACTTCTACTCTCTATTGTAAAAAATCCACTCATGCATCCCAATGCATAACAATATTCACAGAAAAAAAACATTTTAGGTTCGTTTATAATGGTTATAATTCCAGAATTACTGTATCGTATTTTAAACCAAAGCCACAAAGGATAATTCCAGATTTCATAAATGATACCTTGTAGAGAGACACTTACATCACTGGTGTTGATTAAGTTTGATTTAGCCAGCAAGATTTCGGGAGTATCAGGCATGATGTGAACCTGAGTCTTGTCTTTGTCCCATGCTTCTCTATACAGTATCTGAAAAAAAGAAACAAAAATACACTGTCTGATAAAATGCTTACATAAATATCAATGAACTAAGCATTCCTCTTCTCTTCAATAGCAATACAAAAATATAATCTACAAGCATTATCTACAATATAAACAATGCAAGACTTTCAAATCAAATAATATGCCATTTTATACCATCTATTTTCCTTCTTTACTCCTATGAAGGGTGTACACCATGATGATGCAAATAGTCTATATAGTAAACATCCTATTTGCAGGTTATACTGAATAAATTGTATAACACTAAATACCTTGATAAATGAGCAATAAAGCATAGACTGCAAACATCTGATATTTTGCATATTTTCATCTCATAGTCACATATGAAGAACTTTAACATATACTAATGCATTCATTCACTTATCAAGTTACATGTTCTGTCTCTAAAGGCAACTTACATCGCTTCTATTTTTGGCATTAGATTTTGCTAAAACAATATTCATGGCATCTGGAAGACTTGTGAACTTAATAGTATCCGGGTGCTGCCGGTACTTCTTCTCACTCAGAATTTCAGCAGCTTTCTTGTTCTTTTCAGATTCCAAAGATCCCAAAGGACTCCATCCAACACCCTTGAGCCACTGCAGATCTGCTTTATATAGATTCTGTTAGGGGAAAAAAATCAAATTGTGACAGGTTATTTCCATGTTGTGTTACTAAACCGTATGAAAAAAGTAACTGACATTTTAAGCTTGGTGAGCTTTAATCTGTTCCATATCAACATCCAAAGGGAGTTATTACTTTTCAATAAGCAATAAATACCTTATTTAAAAAGAGAGAGAAAAAAAAACTCAAGGATTTAATTTCAGAGGAAGCTTACATCACTCTGTAGTTCATAGACCCTCTTTGCTTGGGTGACATCATTCTGGTCTGGCAGACAAGTCCAACGGTGTAGAATGTGTTTGTAGTCTGCATCACTAACAAGTTCCTGACATTTCTTAGCCAGAAGGAAGCCCAGCATATCCACAGGCATGTTAAACTTTGTCTTCCACTTTTCAAAATCTTTTTTGTATTCCCTCTCACTCTGCATCTTAGCTACTTGCATCGACCACATCATCTTTGGATCATCCTGTAAGCTGCGGAATCCAATGTGATGCCCCTGTTGCTTGCGGTATCCTTCTTTGTACTTGTACTAAAATTACAAAGATTATATTACTGGAATTGCATTAAGAATCAGGCAGTGATAAAATACACAAGCAAACCATCAATATAATATATTCATTTAACATTGCACGTTACCAACAACAATGGGCAACTTGCTATATTGTCTCGTGTAGAAGTTTAATAGCCCCTTGATTCACGTGCATAACCCCGTTTAATGTCAGTAAATGCCACCACTGGGAAATAATCACAGGCCCTGGAAAGGAAGAGCAGGTGGCTCCGAGAATGTCTCCTGTGCCATCTGATTTATAGAGTCACGCTCTTCTGAACTTCTGAAGGCTGACACACTGCAAAGTTTTAGTTAATAAAGTAACCAGCAATGGAACACACAGACACTTAACATTCAGAAACACTTTCTAATTATTAATAAAATGTCTTCCAGAAATGCAAGAGTTGTGTTTAGATCAAGTTACTGACAAAATACTAGGAAAACATGTTTCAGTAAATCTATTCCAGACATGGAAAGTTCTGAGTCCAGTACTCAAGACCGGCACTGGTCAAATTTTCTCTTGCTTTAAAAATGTAATATTCAAAAGAGCACACAGGTCCAGTTTATATTGCTCCTAACTTTGTATGACTAGCTATTTCATGGATGGACCACAACCTTTGGAAGTCTCAAGATGCAAGAACAATTCTCCTCAAAACGTTTCCTTCACTGACAAGAGCATTTTAAGAAGAGTCTTCTTAGCAATTTTGTGTTCAGTTTGAAGGCATAACTTAGCAGATAGTCAGATCTGGGTCTAGGGAGTCTTAGTAGGGTACAGCAATTATATGAAGTGCACAGCAGATTAAATTAGAAGTGTTGCTTACATCACTTGCAATGTCCCTTGAAGCTTTGGCAGCTTTCACTGAAATGGCTTCAGGTGTGAGGTCATAGCCTTTCTTTATCATTTCCTCCCAGTCAAGCTTGTACAGTTTCTAAAATAGAAAACAATCTTAATTGAAATTGTATTTGAAAAAGCCTTACTAGTTTATCTGTCACTTTCTATTTAGATATATCAGTGATTCATATTACCAAATTCTGGACACCACACAGGCTTCAGTTATGAGAGAAGGGCTACTAGAAAGGGGGCACAAAACGGGAAACTAATAGACAAGGGGCTCAAATCTTCCAAATCTTAGGTCAGCAATTAAATAGTTTTCCTTATGACAGCAGTTTCCTACTATAATTTATTCTGGGGTCTTGCAAAGTATACAGAATTAAATTCTCCAGATATCTGGGAAAACTGAAAAATTTTTGATTTAACAAAATTTTAGTTAGTGATGCTATCATGTAGCTGTTAAGTAGTCAATTCAGCTTGTGTACAATTGATTTAAGTACAAGTACTTGCAAATCAAAGATACACCTGTGAGCAATAATGCAAAACAAAAACTAAGTAATTTATGCTGCATAATTGTCACTAGCAGTTGAAAGACGAAAGAAAAGTTAAAATCACTGCATATGCTTATTCTCTATATTAAATTAATAATATGGCACAAGGTACTTCTATTTTTATAGTAATCCATTGTAATGCAGTTGATTCCTACAGTACACATAAAGTATGGTCTAAGTACTTCTGGAGTTCAAAACAAGTTTTTATACACACATATTTTACCACAGTTTAGGCTATTTGTGAAGACAGTACCCACTGGTATGCAGAGCAGCACCAAAATTTTTTGCTGTCTTAAAATGTCCCCTCCCTTTCTTCTACTTAGACAAATTAATAATATTTTTATTTTGAAATGGGAAAGCACCTTTACATTTGAAGAAAGCAGACATTAATTTAAGATGTAATAGAAAGTACTAAAAAACTCTACCTGACTGTAGTTTGCACTGTTCTGTTTAGCCTGTAGAATATCCGGTGTATCTGGCATTACATGGATCTTAGTTTTATCCTTCTCCCAAGCTTGAATATAATCATGCTATTGAAAAAAAAAAGTGTCAGATGTGTTAATATAAATGAAAAAATTAAGCTTTTCAGGTTTTCAACATTCTGCTTGTGCACTTTGGTTACTCAAGGCTAAAGAGGATGATGTTGTCTCAGGTGTATTTTACTATGCAATGACCTAATCCAGACCCTTGGATTAGGTGAATTACTGAATTACTTGAGCAATTCAGTTAAGAAAGAATTGAAACAAGAAGAATCTCTAAGTAGCATATTTGTTTTTCCCAGTGAGACAATCCTACATACAGGTGCTGATATAGGCTCATACAGTGTTTGTTAAAACAGGTTATATTTGATATCTAATTTTCCCCATAAATACTCACTTTATTCATTATCCCTGCATTGTGCTTTGCAAGCACCATGTCCATGGCATCATTCTCCTTTTTGAAGGGGAACATGCTGGGATGCTGGCGGTAGTTCCGGTCACTTGCAATTTCTGTAGCTTTCTTAGATTTCTCCACCTCAAGGGAACCAGCAGGACTCCAGCCCATGCCCTTATACCAGTCATTATAATCCTGTTTGTACTCATTCTGTCAAAGAGATCACAAAAGGCAAGTTTACACTCTACGGATAGTAGATTCTAAGTAATCCCGTTGTGTCCAAAACAGTCATAATGATCAAACAGGAGAAAAAAAAAGCCACATATGTGAATGATAGTTAGAAAGAAAAAAAAAATCTTACATCACTTTGTATCCGATTCATGTTTCTGGACAGCTCTAAGCTCATTGCATCTGGGAGAAGCATATAGTTGTGAATCAGTCGCTTGTAGTTAGCATTGGTTACGCGATCCTGTGCCTCCTTAGCTGCCATGATACTGAGGGCATCAGAAGGTGTTTGGTAATGGGTCTTGCTCATCTCATAGGCTTTCTTGTATTCCCGATCCGACTGCATCTTCGCCACTTGCATGTAATGGACAAGCTTGGGATCATCCTGAAGACTGCGGAAGCCTACAAGTTTTCCCTTGTCTTGTTCATAACCTAATTTATACTTATACTGTGAAAAGAACAGAGACAGGCTTTAAGTTTACATCATTTGTAAGACAAGCAATGCTTATCTTGGGAGGAAGAAAACAAAATAAAAACATAAAATTATGTTTTTAAAACGTAATTTTAAAGTTGTTAAGCTAACACCACTAAGAATATGAGAAGGATAGCTCTGCTTATTTGCCTTATAGTATACTCTAAGAGTAGATGTCTCAAATCTCAAGATTCCTTTTAAAAGCAGTCTATTTTTTAAAGAAATTTGAACAACGAAATTTCCTTGCAACAGTTTATTCTGCCTACTTTGCTGAAAACAGTTTTTTCTAAAACATGCACTTTTTACTCCTCATTCTCTTGTTTAGAGATACAATACTAGCTCTGAAATGAACTATTACAAGCATTAGAACTACGGAAAATTAACTTGCACTGTTCTTCAAAACCACTGCCATCCTGCTTCCAAAAGTTAGCTCAGGCAACTATCTTTACAGTAGTCTGTAGCATACTCAAAAGTACTTGAGTTGAGATCTAAAGACTAGCCATAAATTCAAAGATCTAATCATTATTTCCATTAAGCTCTGCTGTTGAAATGATCTAAAAATTCAAATACAAGATTTAATGCATTTGTTTGTTTAACAAAAGTAACCATGCAAAATCTTAATCACTTCCATAATCCCTTATCAACGCTGGACAATGAAGTACATAGATTATAACTTTTCTTTCACTGCTTACCACATGAAGATAACTGAGGGGAAAAACCTTCCCTTCAGCCTCAGAACAAAGGTAATCAAACTGACTTTGTAGAGGCTAATGCATCACCTATGTTCTTAAAAAAAAATGGAGCTCTAAATAGTAGGTGCTTAGGTTCTCACTTCATCCCTACCTCAAGCTGCTTTATGATTACCACACTCAGGAATAAACTGCATAGGCATTTTTTTTCCTGAGTCCCACATATATCTCCTTGCCTCTCTAATGAAGAAATTGTTTTTTAACAGAAAAATTATCATAATACTTGCATCAAATACACTGGAATTATATACAAACAAAAGAATAAGGAAAAAATTATATAAACTGGCATAAAAAATGTATGATGTCAAGAAATGAATGCTTTATAATGTCTGAAATGGGCTATTATCTCTTAAGAACTTACATCACTAGCAATGTCCCTGGAAGCTTTGGCAGCTTTAATAGGGATAGCATCAGCTCTGAGATCATATCCTTTCTTCCTAGATTCTTCAAAGGAAAGTCTGTACATTTTCTGTGAAATGAAAGAAAAGAGACATTCTTAAAAAAAAAATCACCCAACATTTATATTTATACATATATACAGTAATCAATATAGTAACTTGAAACATAGATTATTTATATGTTCTAACACTTTCTCAAGAGCTGTTTAAAGCAAGCTGTTAAAAACCTGAGTATTCCTTCAAACTCCTGTCCCAGCACTTATAAATCAAAACAGTTTAATCAATCAAACTATAATGAGTACGATGATCTCTATAACAATAGAGCAAATAATTACATTTATTTCCCACATGCACAAATATTGGCTTAGCTGCACCTGAATGGATATTATCTTTTTAGAAAATGTGAAATGACTATGTGTATCATTGAGATTTGCATGATTATAAACAATTCTTAACTTAGCATACACAGATTTAACCACTAGCTACTGAAAAACATGGCTATAGTATCACTCATTACACAAAAATATTCAATCTAAAAAAAGAATTTTGAATCCACTACAAAATTTTGTGTAATAGCAATAATAATAATTATAATTATTAAAAACAACGTAAAAATATGAATAACAAATTCTATCATTTTATAACTAATATATTATAGTTACATACATTTATATTTGATAATGTGTCCATAAATACTACGTTACTTTTTCTTTACAACATTATACTTGAGGAGGAAGAGGACAAAGGAAAAACGAACAGCTTTTTTAATGCAAACTAGCACAAGTTAGCAAAGCAAGAATTATAGACACCTTCCTACGCTGTCATCTCATTTATTCCTAATAAAAATAGCAGCAAATTATTAGCTTTACAGACAGTACTTACATCACTTATATTAAATGCATTGACTTTTGCTAAAGCAAGCTGTGGAATATCTGGTGTGATATGAATCTTCTTTTTGTCTTCTTCCCATGCTTGTTTATATTGATGCTGGAAGGTAAAAGAAAGAGTCTCAATCAAAGACTGCATATAATTATTTCTTATTAAAGTAATTTCCTTTTTTAAAGTGTAACCTTTCTTTTGAGATATGAACCTGAAGATGATGCAACTGCTCAACCATATTTTAATTTCACTACTTACAAGTAAGGCTGTATATTAGATCAACTATAATTTGTTTTTTATTCCTGCAAACTTAAAAACATTTTCTTACCTCATCCATGATTTTGGCATTATGCATAGCTAAGACCATGTTCATAGAATCCATAGGAATGGAGAATTTCAATTTGTCTGGATGTTGACGGTACTTCTTTTCACTGACAATTTCCATGGCTTTTTTGTTCTTCTCAGCTTCCAAGGATCCCAATGGCATCCATCCAACACCCTTCACACTTTCATCATATTCTGCTTTGTATTGATTCTGGAAGCAGAAGGAAAATAAAATAATCAAATATATGAATAAGTCTACCAATCATGACACTTCTTATGTGTTTTTTATGAATATTAAATTTTGAATGCACTTATTCTAAAAGGAACCATAAAGTACTAGGATATAGTCTCCATGGTTTATTTATAAATACATTTATTACAGAGGTATATCTTTTTTATTATCTTGTCTTTCATACATTGTTCAGATTCTCCTGATGACAGATTGCTTGTATGAGATTACATAATTAGGCCCTCTGGAAGAAGAGAGTTCACCTAAAACATTACGCATAAGCCTGAACAAAAGGACCATCTATCTCCTCTAGAATTTAAACAGCCCAAGAACTCTAGAATTTAAACAGCCCAAGCTGTGAGCACAGCTGCTTGGCTGGTTTCTCCATTTTCTGAAAGGGCATTTTTTAGAAAGTACAAATTAATCCTGTTAGTGAAAAGTGATGGCATTTCTGCCTCGGCCTGTACCCAATATTGTTCCTAAAGAGCGTGACAGATGAGCGATAAACATATACGTAATTTAGAAATAAAACGATGCATTTCCCAAGCCAAAGTCTTTTGCAATAGATGTAAATTAGTATTTCAGAGTAGTCTGAGAAATACACAATCACTATCACTGTTGGGAGCCTTGTTTTATTTCCTACATATTCACATATAACTGAAGAAATTTTGCTAAGAAAATTCTGCTACTTATTTTACAGTATTCAGTCATAAGCTAAGCATGATTTCATTGGCAATGCAAAGGTTGAAAAGTCTCTCACTTACATTGCTCTGTATCTGCATCATGTTTTTGGCTAATTCAAGACTCATAGCATCAGGTAAAACGTTGTAAGTATGGATCAAGTTTCTGTAGTTTGCATTTGTAGCCACCTCCTGTGCTTTCTTGGCTGCCACAACACTGAGCATATCGACTGGGGTATGGAAATTAGTTTTTGCCTTCTCATAATCTTTTTTGTATTCACGATCAGACTGCATCTTAGCCACATGCATGAAGTGAACCAGTTTGGGGTCATCTTCAAGGCTGCGGAACCCAATATGCTTTCCTTTTGCTTTTTCATAGGCTAGTTTGTATTTATACTGATAGGAGGAAAGACAAAAAGCAGCAAAATTCAAATTAAAAAATGTATTTAGACACTTTTTCTCTAAAGCTTACAAAATATTACAAAATAGTGTTTTTTTTTTTAAATCACAAGTTCTTTTTCACTGGTCTTCAGGCTTAACCTTGTTAGGTCTTATCAAAAACCTCATTGAACAAATGCATATGAAGTTCAGCAAAATGCACTGTTCAGTGTTATTCTGTAGGAGACAAAATATCCCTGAAGAGAAATTGTTGTAAAGGTTTATCACATCAAGCATGATGATTTGAAATGCTTGAAAAAACACACTGTGTATGACTCTGAAAAATACCTGATTGGGTTTATAGGTCAAATAATCAGCTTCTCTGAGTGCTATCAGACAATACAAACTTACATCACTTGTACCAGACAATAAAACTTACATCACTCGCAATGTCTCTGGAGGCTTTGGCTGCTTTTATTGGAATAGCATCTGGCTGCATATCATAACCTTTCTTCTTGTCTTCCTCCCAATCGGCTTTGTATAGTTTCTAATTTAAAATATAAAAGAGAACCATTATTCTAAAAAGAAAGTGGAAGTATTAAGTACTCTATATTTGAATTTAAGTACTTTCAAAAGAGATATAAAAATTATGCCAATTTTTTATTTGTGCATTTGTAACAGACATTGAATGTTCACTTTAAGTATGATCGCTTACGTTACTCATGTTCATCTGGTTCACTCTAGACTGTAGAATTTCTGGAGTATCTGGCATAACATGAATGCTGGTCTTCTCTTTGTTCCATTTATCAGTGTACATCTTCTGCAATTATAAAATTGTATTTAGTACTAGAAAGGCTTCATATTCATAAAACAAGGGCTTTATTTCACTTCATGTGTCATAAATAATATTTTACAGTACAAAGTCCATAAACACTACAAATAATGTTCACAAATATAACTGAAAGCTAGCATTATTGTATTCTTTTTTTCATAGTTCATCTGACAATTCTGCAGTACATTTTGATAACTAATGCACAGTGAAAATGAAAAATTTCAGTCTGCATTTTTTCCTGCTTTGTATCTTTAAATGCAAAGCTTACTTCTTTCCTGCACCCTATCTCCGCAGAAAATATGGAAGAAGGAGGTCTGGTGTTCCAAATACCGTGGTTACACATCAAAGTACTCGCACCTCCAGAGAGCACATATACAAAATTTAACATTTTTTTTTTCAAATCACTGATTATTAGCTTGCATACCTGCTACAGACCTGGAGAGAGCATCTCTAATCATATACAGAGAGGAGAAAGCTCTTATCTTTATAACTAGAAAGTTAAACACTTGTAATAAAGGTCCAACCTGGGGCTTCAACCTGTATAAACTGCACAGTTCTATGCAAGCAAATCACTATATCCATTTGAGATTCTGATTACTTCAGTGGGAATGTATCCACAAGACAATTTTGCATGTGAAAGACCTAACACTAGCTCAGTCAGGACCATCTGAAAACAGTCTCACCTTATTCATGGTCTTGGCATTGTGTTTAGCAAGCACCTGTTCCATTGCATCCATTGTAATGGAGTATTTCAGCTTGTCTGGGTGCTGGCGATACTTCTTTTCACTAAGAATTTCTGCAGCTTTTTTGGCCTTTTCGACCTCCAGTGATTGAATTGGCATCCAGCCAACTCCTCTTAACCAGTTATTAAAATCTGCTTTGTAGACATTCTTTTAAAAAACAAAGAAAAACAGAGCAAGATAAAGAAAATAAGAGTGCCCAGATACATAAAAACAAATAAGATTTTAAGATTTATCCTAGTTGTTCTTTTTTTTTAAAAAAAAAAGGAAAATGTAGGCAGAGGGAAAGGATATTTTCCTTTTTTGAAGGAATATTACACCAGAATATTTAATGTTTCCAAATCCTTAGCAAAAAATTGAACTATTGATGAGTTAGGTACAAAAATTCGTTTACTAAACCAACATGTAGAACTACCACTGGAAAACAAACGCACAGATCTTAGAAAACAGTGGTGTGGTAAAAATGAAAAACTGTCAAAAATATAACCAGCATTTAAATGACAGCCCTGTTTGTCAGCAGGTTCAGTTCTCAGTGGAATTAATTCTCTGAAAAATTTCTTCAGCAACTTGTGCTCAATGGTCTCGTTGTACACAATCTTGAATGGACAACATTCGAATTTAATCATACTTTACTTTTTTTTTTACTTTACTTTTTACTTTTTTTTTTTAAACAGATAAAGATATGAAGATGCTGTGAAAATAAAGCATATTTCTGAAGCTCAGTGTTAAAAACAATGAGATCGTCATATTTAAATCTGACAAAAAGACCAAATACTTTTAGAGCATCTGCTCTCAGCATAGAATTCAACCTAAGGTATCACTTTCCTCTCCTTGGAAAATTGGGAGTTTGACAGCCAAGGAAGCTCAGCCAACTCAGCAAGAACAAGTGAAAACAGAATAGAGAAACAACAACAAAAAAAAATCATCAGAGGAACATTTCTGTATTTGGAAAGAATACAAAGAATGGCATATAAGAAGAATGAAATTCAGATCCTATACTTGCTGGATAATGTATGTATACGCATTATCCTTAGCCAAACCGAGCTTGAAATGGGAAGAACACTTTCTATCAGGCTGCTCAAGCTTTTTTGGAATTTCAAATTTGTTAGAGGATTTCTAAAAAGAAAATTGATACTTGTTAGGTAAGTTGGAACTTATTAACTACACGTAACTACTTTAGAAAACACAACGATCTAAAACAGGCACTTCCCCATCCATTGTCAATCTAGTACTAGTCTTTTCTTTAGCCTTACTAGGTTAATATAATAATATAATAATTCTCACAAGATAAAATAGGATGGTTAATTTTTACTTACATCACTCTGAATCTGCATCATATTTTTTGATAGTTCCAAGTTCACAGCATCAGGCAGTAGTGTATAATGGTGGATTAGCTGTTTATAGCCAGTGTTTGTGACTGCTTCCTGGGCTTTCTTGGCAGCTGTCACACTGAACATGTCCAAGGGAGTGTGGTATTTGGTCTTCGTGACTTCATAACCCTTCTTGTATTCACGGTCTGATTGCATTTTGGCCACATTCATGTAGTGAACAAGTTTAGGATCATCCTGCAAGCTATGGTATCCAACCTGTTTGCCTTTATCTTTCTCATAGGATTCCTTGTACTTGTACTAGAAAAAAAAGTAAAAGAAAGCCTTATCGGTTTGGGAAAGAAAAGACATATTTTAGTAAGTTTTAAGTTTTGAAATTCAACGTTGTAACAATTGCAAATCATTCTTTAAACTCATAAATTGCTTTTTTTTCAGACAGTTCTGGATTATTTAGATGAAAGGGAAGAATGTTGCTGGATTGATCAGCTTGTCCTAAAGCCTAGATACAGATTAAAATACAAAAATAAAAGCCCACCTCTGCCACTGTCTCCACTATATTATATTTTACTGCCATAGCTCTCAGACTCCCAGGAATATTTGTTTTTTATTAAAACACATTTTACTTACATCACTGGCAATGTTTCGAGAAGCTTTAGCAGCAATAATAGGAATGGCATCAGGTTTCAGATCATATCCTTTGGCAATAGTTTTTTTCCAGTCTGCTTTGTAGTTAGCCTTATAGGAGTAAAAAAAAGGTACAAGTTAGCAATGTTACAAGTAGTAATTGTAACAAAGTTGTTGAAACTCATTTTTATTAGAGCTAATAGTACTCAGTTTAATTATTAAAAATAAAACTATTACAAAGATAAAAAAGTAATTCAAGACAATCATTTTAATTCATGTAGCTAACTCATTAACTCCTAAGGCATTTTTTGCAATGCTTATGTAGAAAGACTGTCAGCACTGCTTTTGCTCCTACTTAAGCAAAATTCTTTTTAATTTCCCTAAACCTTTAGAAATTCCTTTCTTTAGCTTCAAAATCAGGACCTCTGGTCTTAAGTGATATAAAGTATCCTGTTTCTTCATTAGTGATAGCATCTGGAAGGGCTAACAGTACTTGATAGCTTTCTATAGCATGGGATAAAGGGAGCTGCCAGCTTTTACCCAGAGGTCACAAAAAAATTACTATTACAAAGGCAATAAAGGCAGTATTATCATTGCAGCTCTCTGCATTGTTGAAGGGATGCAAAAAGTCATGGAAATCAGGCAGACTAGTAATCAAGGTATGCTAGGTTTCTTTTTCAGTATATCCAGACAGTCTGGCAAAAAAGCACCAAAATGTGTTTATATTCATTATTACTCATAGAAGCACTTCAAAAATTTGCTTAGCAAAGATAAAATCCATTGACTTCTAGTTCTGCTGAACTAAACACTTGCATTTCTATATTCAAATATAGTAGCATACATAAATAAAAGGCCATATGTTTTGAGTCATAAATATACTATTGAACAAAACACTGCTTATATGCTCACATCACTCAAATTGAAGGCATTGACCCTGGCTTGAATAAACTGCGGAACATCAGGATCCAGAGTGTATTTGTGTTTTACTTTTTCACCCTCTTGCTTATATGTTACCTGAAATAAAGCAAAAATAACATATTTGTTAACAATATAACGTAGGTAACATTACTGTTAACAAATAAGCAAAGCAATAATGTTTAATTCTTACTAATAAATGGCAATGTTAATACTTGTGCAGTTTTTAGAATTTAAATTTTTAAAAGATGGAATATCCATTATTATATTATATGTACATTAGAAGAGAAAATGACCACACTGCATAAATAGTGAAAAATTCTTACATCACTCAGCTGCTTGGTATTGTGCTGAGCTAAAACCATTGGTATTGAATCTGGTATACTTGTAAATTTGATGGTGTCTGGGTGCTGACGGTATTTCTTTTCATTTAATGCCTCTCCAGCCTTTTTAGCTTTTTCAACATCCAGAGAACCCAGGGGACTCCATCCAGTACCCTTGAACCAGCTGTTATAGTCTTGCTTGTACACATTCTGAAGGAGAGAAAGCCAACATGAACCAAGATTTTCCCAAAGAATCCTGTTTTTTTTCTGTTTAAAACTGTAATCACATGGTCTAGCCAATGTGTTCTAAGTTGGCAGGAAATACAAAGTCTTAAAGGAACAGATTTTATTTTAAACTTCTCTGTGATTTTGCAAGGATGAAAATTAGCCCCTGTAGTTCTTCCTTCATGATTCATTTGCTATAAACAGTGGCACTCTTTTGTTATTTACTACATTATTTTTCACTTGGCTATGTAATAATTTTCACTGTATGGTGTCCATACATCATGGCTGAATTTGTTCTGTGCTGCAACACAGTCTAACAGACTTGGCCTTACTGAGAGGTCTACAGGAAAGAGACTTTTCTACTTCTAGTGAGCCAATGGGGATGCAACCAATGTCCTTCATCGGGCCAGTAAAATCAGCTTGGTAAGCATTCTAATCAAAAAATGAAAATATTTTAAAAGATAGGAATTGAAAAAAATTGAAGGATCTCTCCTAAATCTCCGTAGTTCACGCCTGAAGTGCCTCAACAAATTCTGTTGAAATGAGGTTTTACTTACATCACTCTGAATCTCCATCATGTTTTTGGTCAACTCCAAGTTCATTGCATCTGGTAAGTAAGTGTAGTGGTGGAGGAGGTTCTTGTAATTAGCATTGCTGGCAATCTCTTGAGCCTTCTTGGCAGCCACGACATTGACCATATCCAGTGGGGTGTTGTACTTGGTTTTTGTTTTCTCATAATCTTTCTTGTATTCTCGTTCGGACTGCATCTTGGCTACATTCATATAATGAACTAGTTTTGGATCATCTTGGAGACTCTGGAAGCCAATATGTTTACCCTTGGCAAGCTCGTAGCCTTTTTTATAGTTTACCTGTTAGAGCACAACAGAACACAGGGAAAATCATCTTAAGTTCAGTAACTTAGCAAATAGAAAACCAAAAGCAAAACTATTCTTAGGGGCTTGGTTTTTGTTTTGTTCTATGGTGTTTTTTTGTTTATTTGTTTTCTTACAAGCGGTGTTCTTCATACATAAATCAGTGACCTATATAACACAATCATAAGAAAATCAGACATATATCTCTTTACAATACACTGCTATAAAAATATCACTTAATCAAAATGCACAGTATTGTTACATGGATTATACTGATCAGAAGAGGGAAAGAATTCTTAAACTAGTAAGCGACTTCCCTGAGGCCATCCCTAAGAATCTACTATAACTGTGTTAATTAAGGTTGGTCTATGTTTAGATAAAAAGTGTAATAACATAATCCATAAAGGCAGTAAGTGAACCTTCAGATACCATAAACCACGTTTGCAATTACGTTTATTTAAGTAAATTCTTTGAAATAAAACATTTCCTTGAAGAAGGGTATACTTACATCACTGACAGCCTGTCTAGCAGCCTTGGCAGCTCTGATAGGAATAGCATCACTTCTTAGATCATATCCTTTTGATTTTAATTCTTCTAATCCACTTTTGTAGTAGTTCTAAAAGGAAAGGTGAATTTAGTATGAACAGTTTCGAGCTATGGACCCTAAAAATGTAAGTTGAATCAAGAGCTGTGGATTCATGTATATACTTACATCACTAATATTATAGGCATTAACTCTAGCCTGGATGAAGTGGGGCACATCTGGAGGAAGGTGGTACTTGTGAATAACTTCTTCACCTTTGGATTTATATAGTATCTGTGGATAAAAGTAAATAAATAAATTTTGTGGCCCAATGTCTACAGACTTCAATCAAGCTGAGATGCATCATTTCATTTTATCTCAGTCATGAAGAAAGATGGAGATGGAATACCAGTCCTTGTCAAGTGAATGTCATAAATCACATTGACTTAACTGGTGCAAATATATTAAAAATGATGACCACAAACACAATTACACATGTACATACTGAAACCAAATATGAACAGTCACTTAAAAAAATAACAAATAAATAAAAGCCAATTCCCAGACCATCTTTCACTAGAACAGAACTGCATACATACATAAAATATTTGTATGTGAATGCACACACACTCACATTTACAGTCATTTCAGAAGTTCTCTTTAAATCAGATGACTAAGAGGAGCAATGGTAAAGAAATGGGTGGTCTCAAAGTATAGCAACATGTGAGCCATGAGAACTGGATAAATTTCCTAACTGCCTCCAACAAGCTTTGAAAAAACAGAACCATCTGGACTGGAAGAGAAGGCAACAACCACTGAAAACCAGGGCACGATTACTTCTACAAAGGTTTCGGTTTGGAACTTCAAGTAATTAATTTACCTATTATCTACATATATGAATCAGAAATGGCAAAACTTACATCACTTCTCTGAGCCTGGTTGATTTTAGCTTGAACCATAACAGGCTCATCTTCAATCTGTGTAAACTTAATAGTGTCTGGATGCTGGCGATACTTTTTCTATTCAGGAAAAGAAAAGTGTCATATTAAATTCCCACATGGATAAAACGAAATATAACTCTAACAGATCTAATGACTAAAAGGTACACAAACATAAGCCAATACATTCATTTATTATGCTCTTTCCTTCTCCTAGATGTTAATCATATGTTATTTAAAGAACTTAGCAGCTGAGTATAAAGCTCTATACCATATGAAAACTAGGCACCTAGATGAAAGGGGGGTATTCATAACAGTGATGCAAGTGGTTAATTTCTTTACAAACTGAATGAAAAAAAAAAGTTAGATTTTTCTAATTATAGTACTCATAACACTCAACACAATAAACCCCAGGATATCTCATCCAGACAACAAAAGTGTCGATAAACAGTGAATGAAATTCTGGATATTGCTAGTATTTAGATAACTGAGATCTAAAGCATCTTTGTGAAATTAGATTCACAGTTTAGACTCGTTGCTTCACTTATGTGTCTGAGTCTTATGTTTAGGTATAAGTGACTAGATCTTTATTTTGATCCAAAGAATCCAAAAGACTAACAGGAGATCTCAGCAGAGATCAGTGGGATTTTTTTTGTGTTTTAAATCCAAAGATTGCTTATGTAAAATACATAAAATGTAGTACTTCGAATGTATGCTTCCACAATCACAATTTAATTACAAGGCAACAAAGATGTGCTAATCTTCCAAAATACCCATCTGATGGCAGAATGAATCACCAAGTAAATTAAGTAGCTTAAGTGAAAGTATTTCGGTTAGTCTACAAATTAATATATTACTTTTCATAAATCAGGACTGAGCCCATAAAGAATTCCCATTTAGTCAATAAAAGGCAAAAAGTATTTCATATTAAAAGACTGCATGATGGATACAGCACCAAGGGTCTCTCATTGCTTTTTCTCCCACGAAGTGCCCTCAGCAGAGTGAGAATTTGGTTACACTAGACTTCATTACCTCATTCAGAATGTCTGAAGCTCTCTTAGCCTTCTCCACTTCCAGAGATCCTAACGGTATCCAGCCGCAGCCTTTCATGTCACTATTGTAATCTGATTTATACTCATTCTACGAGAGAGAGAGAGAGAGAGAGAGAGAGAGAGAGAGAGAGAGAGGGAGAGAGAGAGAGAGAGAGAGAGGGGGAGGGGGAGAGAGAGAGAGAGAGAGACAGACAGACAGACAGAGAGACAGAACTCAGTAAAAAGAAGATTCCACATACCCGAATTACTTACACAAAGCTATTTTGTGATATCAGTAAAAAAGCTTAAACATCACATCAATAAATTAGAATTTATGCAGACAGGAATATCAAGGAAACATTTAGCTTTAAGAAAAAGATATCCAAAGGCTTCTGGAAGATGAAATCTCTGTTCTTCCTCACACAAAGTCTGTGTTAAAATTAACAGACACAAGTACATGTGTTGAGAAAATGTCAGAATATTTAATCTGCATGTCTTCAAAAATACAGGCTTCAGTGATATATTTTACCTTTCCAATCTGGTCATTTCTCAATGATAAATTATTTGAATGACAAATCATGTATGAAACTACTATGATTGCCAAATTAACAAATTACAGGGGCTTTCAAAAGGAATTTTGAAACTTGTTTGCACAGGTATTCTATTCTTACTCAGCCCAGAGCAAAGAATCTTCTCTGTTCACTGCAGAAATTTGAACTTTTTTGAATTTATCAAAATTTGAACTTTTTCAATTTTTTAAATTGAAGGTTCAATCATCATTTGACTGATGAACTTGAAGGAACCCATCAAAAGTTCAAAATTCTCTCAACAAATACTACTGTAATACACAACTTTAGCTACATCTCAGATGCATGACAGGTTCATCAGCTCTCACTGCAGCTTTGCAAATACACTTGACAATTAGATGAACTTGTTTGAGTATTGTTGACTAACACAATGCTCTACCCTCATCTTTGCAGCCTTCTTTCACTCTACAGTACTTTGATAATGTGCTAGTTTTGCACTGTACAAAGCTCGTTGATACATATTTCACTATAGTATTTCTGCATACATTGCCCTGTAAAATGTAGAGATGCCCACACAATTTTTCTGTTATTGTTCTCTCTTAGCTAAACCAGTATGACCATGAGTCATTTAAATATCTGAACCAAAACATTTAGCTGACTAGTATGTAACATAAAGTTGGTGCAGTTGTGTTTGTTTCTGGAAAGGTGCTATGTTTCTAGGAAAAAACAGTATTTCTCAGTTTAGAAAAAAACAGAATTTCTCAGTTTCTTGAAATGTGCTAATTAGTTTTCTAAATCTTCAAAGTTATGTGAAACTAATAAAAATACTGGGAAACTCACTCAGACCTCATACATTCTCAAGATTTAAAATTTTTGCAGTGAATATTCCAAAACTATCCACTACTGAGATTAAATAAAAGTGAAGTTCTTTTTAACAAGAAAAACAAATAAAATACATTTGTTTCTTCTGAACCAAATCATTTGCGACTTCAAAAGAAACCCCCAAAAAGCAGAATTTCAATACGAAACAGTTTTCAAAGTATTCTGTATTAGAAATGGTAAGTTCAATTATCTGAAACTTTCCCCCAAAGTTACCTTTGGGTTAAAAAATGCCGTGATCACTTTGGAACTGCTGTTATTAATTAACAAAAAGGATAACTCAGTTTATTATACATGTAGAGAGCGAATTATAAATACACATTTTGAAGAAATACATCTAAAGAGTAGATGATACTCCTGGTATGCTTCCCTTCACAAACTCCTGAAACACAATGCTATCTATGATCACTTGTTGAGAAGCAGTGATTAGATCCTCATACTTGATCTGCTAAAGGAGTCTCTCTTTAAATATTGTGACAATAAATGCTGTTAAAATGACAACTTGATCAGTGTTACCAAAACCACAAAAATACGAATTCCTTACGTCACTCTGAATAGCATAGGCTTTCTTTGCAAGCTCCACATCAATGCTGTCAGGAGGATAAAAGTAATTATGAATGATGTTCTTGTAGTCCGCATTGCTGGCAATTGCTTGAGATTTTTTGGCTTGAACAACTGGAATCATGTCCAATGGTGCCGTATAGTTGGTCTTCGATGTTTCATAAGCCAATTTGTACTCGCGCTGAAAAAGAATTTGAGAAATACTTTTTGTTATAAGATTAACTCAAAGTCAGTTCTAAACTCCTCTCAGCAAATGTTGCTTTTTGATACACCATTACATGCTTGCCATTCTACAATTCAAAATTCATATAATTTTATATAATTCTATATATTCACATAACTCTGTAATTCTAAAGTCAAATAAACTAGAGATATTAGGACTGCAAACAGATCTAACTATTAAATGGAGGATATAATTATGTTTCTCAGATAAAAATATGGATTATTTATTTTCATTAAAGTGAATTTTAAAGAAGTTTTAATGAGTTATCTGCAAACACAGGATGTTCTACATTAGTACCTAGTAATGTAGAAGCTGACACACAAGTCAAAAACTTGATTCTGTGCTAGATTCATAGATGTGCTAATTCATGACATATAAGCTTAGGGAGTAACTTCAGAAGGCAACAAGGCAGTTGGATTTCCATAGTTTGTGTCTGCCATCCACCAGAGAAGAAATAATACATATTATTTTACTGGTGAATTACACCTCATAAATAGAAATAACATCCAGTAAACTGGAAGTGAACACGAAAGGAACCCAGCAGGTGTTAGCTAGAAGCAAGCAGAAACAACCAGCTGTGCGAGGTTTCCAGGGCATGTCACAACTTTACAGAACAAAAGTATTACACAGTGTAAATAACAGGAAGAATGGTAATAGTGGATGACAGATGGGTCTATTCCTAAATTAAAGGTCTCAATAACCTGATCTGACTTTGGAACTGACCCTGCTTTAAGCAGGACATTAGACTAGATGACATGAGATGTCTTCTGACCTGAATTATCCTATGATCCTATGATTTATTTAATGTAGATTTTCCTTATAATAGAAAGACCCTTCCTTTATTTCTGTAAAATACCTAGCCTGCAAACCAGAAATGAATAAAGAGCATGAATAAAAAATTAGTTTAAGGATCGATCTTACATCGCTCTGCTGTTTGGCCACCTTCATGGAATGTAGTATCTTGGGATCATCATGCACACTCAGAGCTCCAATCATTTTCCCTTTACTCTGTTCATATGCTTTCTTATATTCCACCTGCACAATCAGAACAAAAAAGTGAAACCAAATTCCATTTAAAATGTAACCTGAAAAGCTAGTATAATCAAAAAACATACTTACATCACTTGCAATTTTACTGTGAGCTTTAGCAGCAAGAAGTGGAATTGCATCAACTTTGATTTCAAATGACTTATCTTTAGCCTTTTCCCAGTCATACTTGTAACAACTCTGGAGAAAACAAAAATGTCATAGGAATCTAATTAATTCAGATGTAACTAGATATTAAATAAAAATTCAGCATTTAAAACTATTGACAGTATTTAATATTACAAATTAACATAATATTTGAGTATGACCCAAAGAGTAATACACAAAGAACAGTATAAATTTCTTACCAATGTGAAGTATCTTTGAAATGGATATTTCAAGTAGAAACATAAGATAACTCTATTTCACAGCCCCTTCATATTTCCAGAAAAAAATCACTTTAACAAGAAAACTCTCTCTGTATTTTTACATAAAACACTAATATTTATTATATTAATAAATATATTAAGACCATATTAAGAAATAGTGCATTTTATAACAGTTGCATGTGTTTAATGACTTTTATGTGTATGTGAATTGTTTTGCTGCTTGGAATTTTTGCAGTAATCCTAGCATTTATTACGATCAACACAACTGATTACTTGTACTCCACATTCTTATAGAAACTCTTTTGCTTTGAACAAATCTTGCTATCTACATGCAGGGTAAAGTTAATACTTACATCACTAATGTTATATGCATTAACACGGGACTGGATGAAAAATGGAGCATCTGGTGGTATAGAACACTTGAACTTCTCACTTTCATGTTTAGCTTTGTATCTCAGCTGAAAAACACAGTAAGATAATCATTTAGGAAAGGCAGAAGTCATTTTTTGGGAGGAGAACAGAAGCGAACAACTGGATAAAATTTAGTTAAAATTATCACTACACATCATAATATCAAAACTATTTTCTTATCTGAACAAAGGTATAATCTAATTTTGATGAAATCCCCAGAAAATAAAAGCTAAGTCCTGCACTGAGCTTTTCTTAGCAGAGATGTCATAGAGAAAGTCACGGAAGAGATACTGTAGTGCTTTCTACCAGATATATGGAAATTCAAGATACATAATCAAGTGTCTTGATTATGTAATAATTTTACTTACATCACTAAGCTGTTTGCTATTGATCTCTGCTTGCTTCTGCACTGGAGAGTCTGTCACTTGAGTAAATTTGATTTGATCAGGATGTTTTTTGTAGGTGTGCTGAAGGAAAATAATGAATATGTTTACAGTATACATTAACTTTTTACCAAGACAACAATATAACACTGCTTGAGATAGTGATCAGTTACAGCACCGATGAAGACAGGCATTGTTCTATACATTTGTTCTCACATTACTTAACAAAAATCAGAGAACAAATAAATTATTAAAGCATTTACTGTAAACTTAAGTACATAGATGTTTGAGATTCGTTCTACATTTTAGAACTGTTCCTCTGATTTCATGTTTTAACTTGTTAAATAAAAAAGATTGTGCTGTATCTATCTTGATCACTAGATGTCACAAAAGGCTTCTAAAATATAAATGAATGTGGCTTTTAAATTTATGCTAAAAAAGTGAAATTCAAAATCACAAAAGTTAACAGGAATCACTTGAGATTTCCACAGACCTGAAAAGTGGTCATTCTGTATTTAATTGACTACTTGGTAGCAACTACTTACATCTTTACACTGATCTAACTTCTTAATAGCTTCATATTCCTGAGTTATGGTCTGAGGGAAGTAGCATTTTGTCTTATCCTCCTCATAATCTGCTTTGTAATTTTTCTAGGCATAGAAAAAAAAACAGAAGCAAAATTGATTTTTCTTTGAAATGAAAGTATAATTATGAGAACAGAGCTAGTGCTGTACTTACATCACTCTTCATAGCTTCAACTTTCATACAGTGTGTATGATGTGGGTCCTCATAGCTTCCTAAATAGTGTCCTAAAATATTCTTTTGATATGCATCTTTATATTTTACCTAGGAAAATAATCACAAATTGATTAGCAAAGGTAATCAAGAATGTCAACACTGAAATATATAAACAAATGCAAAAATACATACATCACTAAAATTCTTTAGAACGCTGTCAACCTGAAACTTGGGAGTATCACAGTAATTCATGCTCGTTCCTTTTGATTGCTCATAGGCTTCTTTGTACAATTTCTGCAAAAGAAAATAACGTCAGTGTAGAAGATTTTATTGAAACTCATTCACAATGCATTAGAAATGAAAACAGTAAGAGTGAAATGACATGAAGAACTATGATTAGACCCTCTTTACAATAACATCAGGATATCACAAGAATAACAAAACTGAGCTCCAAAGCAGGGGTGTATACCCTGACATTTCCTTATGTTCAGGTCAATGTTCAGGTCAACTTCACTGCACTATAAATTAAATAATCAATACACAATACTATATATAATATACTATAGAATGGTGCAAAAAATATTCAATGAAATGATTTCACAACTTATTTTTCATACTTGTTAAGGGAACTCAGAAGTCAAACATCAAATTGCTTGTGGTGGCATTTGCATTTCTTAGGACTGTATTATGAGATATTTGAAAGCCAGATCATATGACTAAGGCTCTACCTAGCATTCTTAAGATCAGAAGAAGAGGGCAGACTGCTCAGATGCACCTTCCATTATCAGGATGAGCCACATGCACAGAATGCAAAGAAAAGCTTTCCCCACAGTATTGAAAAACAGATGGCACACTTCTTTCTCAATTAATTATTTTAACTTTTTTAGTGACTCTTGGGATCATAAGGGAAGACAAGAAGGTCTGACTCACAATTTTTTAACTTCTGACACTAAGAAATATGAAATCTTTTTCCATACAGATGAAAGCAGCAAAAAGAGATAATACAATACAATTATTTTCATATTCTGCTGTAGAGAATTGTAGAGACTCCCTAGCTACTAAAGAAATACTATTCTAGCTGACTGTATCTCATAGTACATAGTAGGATTATAATACTAAAATACTGAGAGATACAATGTAAAAGCCTTGTGAAGAAATGATGAGTTTTGGTTTATTGTACAAGACTGAAATTAAATCAACTGAACTTTGATAATACTTACATCACTCAGCACGTTTCCTGCAGTTTTTAATTGCCTCAGCAAAGGGTTCTCTGTAGCAGGAAGCACATTGTAATCTGCAATAGCTTTGTTCTTTTCATAGTCTGCTCTGTATTTTATCTTTAAAAAATAAAAATAAGGAAGGTGAAATTTTAAAAAATCACTTATCCAGAGTTCTGAATTTTTGTGGTACTAGTTAGATAAAGAGTATGAACTCCACCATGCTCATTAACACCAGGAAAGGGTAACACTGAGCTAAGCTGCTGCTTTCCAATAAATGTTCTAGGGAATAGGCCAAAGAAGCTTTCCTCCATTCTACAGACAATATTGAAAGCCAGACACCCACTGAGCTATATCCTTTTTTCCTGGGCTTTTTAATTGGTGTTTCATCATGGCAAAGAACCATGACAGACAGTCAGAACAACAGACTACAGAATTCACAAGGTGAGAAGCAGGTCACAAGATAACTGTTTAATAGCTGGGAAGCAGGTTCCCCGCAAGTCCCTCTTCAAACACATTCTGATGTTTCAGGTATTGCTCAACATCACAAAACAGTTATATTCTTCAAATTACTGACATAAGATTATCCTTGCCTTTGCTGATACACAAATATTACAGAAAATGTAGAAGTCAAACAAAATCTACCCTTTGAACAAAAGATACACCAACATGACATTAATAAGATATACTGAGTAAAGACGATCAAATATGAAAATACTAAGCCAGAGTAATGGCTTTAAAATAGTCTTGATTAATAGCATTGACTTATTCCACCTAAAAAAACAGGCATAGCATGGTCAGAATGAACAATGATGAAAATTCTGCTTAAAGAAGTAAATTCTACTTTATGGTTACTGTTATTGAAAGCTAGAAGGATGGCTAGGATCATTAGAGGCTTTGAAATGTAGTACATAGAAAAACATACCTTTTGCAGACAGAACAGCTTCAGTATAAACTTGTCTAACTTTAGTTTGACTGAGAGCCAAACTAAACTAATGGGAGTACACTTAACATACCTTACTGACATTATTTCCAAGTCGTTTATTAGCTTCATACTCTGGAGTTTCAGTCTGCATAAAATAGATTTGGTCTTTTATATTTTCAAAGTCTTCCTGATATTTTTTCTGTTAGGAAAAGAGAAAAATAGACAGTAATGCATCAATTGCATTCACATTATAAATCAGCCACCCAAGAAGTAGCTTAAATAGAGAGAAAAAAAAAACACAACTGGAGCAGGCAAAATGAGTCTTTTCTAAGTTAATACAAATGGAAGATAAGTTGCACATTTCAAGATTTTCTGAAGAATTCACTTACCATACTTAGATTTTCTGAATTCATTTTTGCAATTGCAACATCATAGCATGGAGTTTGGCTCCACTTGCCCTTGATCTTATTTTTATAGTCTTCATGATACTTAATCTATAATAAAATGAAATAATAAAAATGAATTACCCAAATGTCAACTAAAATATAACATCACTATTTCTAGATACCATTCAATTTTTGCATGACAGATCTGTTTTTAAAAATCTTCCTTTTAACAGTGTCATATTTTATACCTGTCTTTTAGCCACTTTACCATCTACTGTCAAATACACCTTAAATATGATTTGACCTAATTACATCTGTGTTCAGTTATACCTCTTGATACCTTCTCTGGCTAAATGGATGAAATAAATCATCTATTCTAAAATGCAGTTACTAATTCTAAATTTTCTCCATGGAATATCACTAACATAGTCCTTTGTTTGAGTTATGCTTCCTCACTAGTCGTGTAACATACTCCATTAAACTGGAATTTACCATTGCTACTGATGAAACTTATTACAAAAGCGCACATGGACAGACCTTTTAATACTTCTTAATATAGAAGTGGCGATGTGATAGCTATCAGACTATATTTAAGTTCATGAAACTCAAGGACCAACTTTTTCAATCAGTTTATTTCTGTTTAGCAAGAGACAAATGTTTCTCAGGAATTTATATCTGTGAATTTAAGAATGCTTGGCATGTGTAGGTATACAATAATTCGATTCCAAAATTTACATTAGGAGGTATTCTGTGCCACTGAAATAGGAATCTGCATGGATGAAGTGTCCAACCTTTCACCAAAATGAGGTTACACCTTGTGAGCAAGTAACTGACTATGAAAGCATTATATATACTATTTTTTATTATTTATATTTAAAATAACAGCAAAATTTTGTCATTTACTACTCTTTCTTGAAGACATGTGAAGTGTAAAGGAGGAGAGGAAAAAAAGAGGGAAAATTGCACATGAAAGGGAAAGAGAAGCAGAAAGATTTTGTGAAACCTAAGTTCACTGATATGAACAAAAGCTTTGCATTTTATCTAAGACTGGTCATATTTTTCTCTGCTATATTTCAAGAAGAAAGAAGCAAAAGGTAAATACTGACTTTTGTCACTGAAAGATCAAAGGAATTTTGAGTCTTTTCCTCTGCTGTTCCTTTCATTAGGTAACAATTTGCCTCTTCAAAATTTCACTTCAAACATAAGGAAGAGCACTGCATCCTACTTACATCACTGAGTTGCCTCGTCACTTTCTTGGCTAGTTCCACATCAGGTGGATCTGGCAGAGAAGTGTATTTAGATTTACGTTCATCGTGCCCTTTTTTGTAGACAATCTGAAAATAAGGAAAGAAGTCAGCTTTTACACTGGCACTGCTTACACTAACAGTAATTTACTGAAAATCTCACTAATGCTACTACTAACAAAAGTAGTTATGTTCATAGCTGCTGCAGGGTAAATTCTCTCAAACAATATATTCTGGAAAACTCCTGAAAAGTCTCTCAGTAAGGAACAGCAAAAGAGAGAGAGTTCTCTGTGAAAAGTACATTAACATCACTGCCCCTATACATAGGAACAAGCAAAACTCTGGACATCTTCAAAATTCACTGAAATTTTTAAGTAACACATGAAATCATCCGTTAAAAAGTGCTTTTCCTTTTTTCCTTTTATTATTTTAAAGGGGAAGTCACACAGCTTCACAAATGCCTGAATTTTCTTACTGCTTCTTTAGAAGTATAAGCTTACAGAACTACACCAGAGAATTGGGCTTACAGCCAAATATTCAAGTTTCTTCACTTTTTCTGAGAGATACTAGAGGTCTTCTTATTGATTATCTCTGATGATCATTAATAAATTGTTTCATTCATTCCTAACTCAATTTCGAATTGCTAATCCCTGCCTGCTCTTTAACACAGACACTTACCTATAAAAATAGCAGTGCTATTAATGAATATTTATGCACTTTTATTTCTGTTTCATTACAAAGACTTTGTGTCTAGTGTACGCACATGTAGAACCCTACTAAGTTGCACTGCAATACTCACATGATCCATGGCACAATCAGACTTTGATACTTACATCACTCAGAGTCTTTTGGGCCTGGGCCACCCTCCTGAGCTCTGGACTGTCATTGTATGGATAGAATAATGTTTTGTCTCCTTCCCAATCTTCTGTATACAGTTTCTGGAGAGCAGAAAAATGTCAGAATACTCATTATATAATAAGGTCTGTCTTGAAATGCTTCTTGCATTTCAGTTCCCTAAACTTGTGATTTTCCTTACCTTACTGAACATTGCTGTATTTTTTATTGCATTCACAAGTTCTGGAGCATCAGGGGGAAGTAGGTACTTGTCTTTATTCTCCTCCCAATTCTGTTTATATAGCACCTAGACAAAAAAATCAACATGTTGGTTATTCTATTATTAGGAAAATACTTACATTTCCTAACAAACAGCTGACTTTTTTTTTCTTGAAATACAAGACTCAAACCAATGCCATATGAAGATCATCAACAGGCAACATTAAAGATTAAGAGATTTTTATTGCTTTGATCAACCCTACCATCTCTTCCTGTCCTAAATTATTCCAAAAACATTGTTTTTGCATAGTGAACTCAAGATCCTACTCATACTGTTAACTAAATGATCCATTAATGTACAAAATCCTTCCAAAAAGTCACATCCCACTCACCTTGCTCACTTGCTGTGAGACCTTCTTTGCATGTTCTATATCCTTGGCCTTTTCATCAACATGGCAAATAGTCCTAGCAACTTCACCAGCCATGCGGTATTTGACCTACGTCAATGCATAGCAAGAAACATATATTTTTACATTAAAATTTGACAGATTTGACAAACATTGTTATTTTGACGCTTAACATAGTAAACACCCCAAACCTGAATTCAAAACCACTTTAGTCAGGAAAGGGGTAGAATTTAATACTCCTTCATCTCCTCACCACTGGTTAGCTTAGGTAACTTCGCCCTCAGCTTCAAGGTTCCCATTTTTAGGCACTTAGCTCTCTCCATACACTGCACAAAGAATTAAGATATCGTTCTATGCAGATTTCAGTTTCCCAAACTGTGAGGTTTATGGTTGAAAGGGAAAATACAGATGCTTGAAAGAAAGAGGAGAGAGGAAGGGTCAGCTTCCAGAACTGCAGGCATGGCATTGCTGTGGCAAATGCAACTGAGCTAGCTTGGAAACGCAGACCATACATATCCCAGAGAGATGGGATAGACGGGGAAAACATCTCATAAGAAATAACCAGATGCACAGAATTTCATTTTGCAACACTTGGGGAGTGCAGGCATCATTTCTGAAATATCTCTTTAGGGAACTGAATTTCAGTTGCCCTATGAAATCAAAACCACATTTAAATACATTTTAAAACAAAATGCAAAACTCTATGGTCATTAGTCTGGAGTTTGACTTGATTTCAACAACAGATCATGCATCACAACTGCAGGATGCAGTGTATGCTATATCCAATCACAGTGTGATACAGACATCATCATCTCTCATGCTCTCCTGTGTAACTTCTGATCAACATTTTTCAAGCTTCTTTGGCCACAGTGAGATTGTACTAATGTTCAGCTGGTCAAGAACCATCTAGAGAAGTCCAATTCTAATCAAAATCCTAGAACTAAAATCATAAGACTCTGTACTCCTCATTTTTGCAATTTGGCAAAATTTCTGCTAAATACCTAGACTGCCTTATGATAATATTATTTTTTTAAATCTTATCTTATTTAATATTTAAAATTATGAGTGAGTTTGCTTCTTTACCACCCATTAATTTTCCCTATCATAGTTGATACCTACCTCACTGAGCTGATCTTGTACTTTCTTTATTCGACGAAGTTCTGGTGTATCAATTGTGGAAGCATATGGCTTTCCTTTTTCTTTTATAAACTTTTCTTTGTATTTATTCTGAAATGAAATAAGAACAAATAAAACTGTGACATATTCTAAGGCTCTGTAGGAGATTTATATAGCAATTATTGATTTATTTACCTGATAGGTACAGAAAATTTTGGAAAACTATTTAATAGTAAAACCTGGCATTACTCAACTGAAATTTGCAGCTATCCTTTTTAAACCAGTTGATTTTCATCTGTTTGACACAACAGAGAAAATCTAAACCTCTATCCTGTTTTATATCACCTCCAATTGATTTTATTCTCCCTGAGATTTTAAAATAGAAGCATTTTCAGGTGTTTCAGCAGCAGAAGATAAGGGCAGAATGAAGGTGAGGGTAGCGGTCCAAGTTCACACATAAGCCCCTTTAGCCAGGAATACAGGAAGGTAATATACATTTACATTCAGGGAGAAGTGAGCTGACACCATCTGCATCTATTCAGAGCAATATTTTTCCTCTTTTCACAACGTATTATGATATTGTTCTACTTTGGTCTTTGATATCCCATAACAGAATTTCAGGTTGGTGCTTGCTCCCATATTGTATCCAGGAATTTTTCTTGGATAGATATATAGATAGAAAAATATGCTATTACAAAACGATGAGGTTTGCTGTTCAGTAAACGATTTCCTGTATCCCTTACCTTGCCTATCCAAATTAGATGCAGGAGTCCTATTAACTGACACCTCTGACAACCTCCTCCTAAAGCTACATTTGTGTCTTAATGATTACCTAAGGCACTTAAGCTGAAAATGGACAAAAGATGGGTTGAATCAAAAAATGGAAGTTCCTATTTTAGGTAAATAGCACTAACACACATTATGAAATGCAGTACAGGGAAAAAAACACAGAAGAGTAGTAGGAAGTTTTGCAGTGATACCTGTTAAATATTTTTGAAATTGGTGTTATGATAGAATAAAAAATGAACATGGGACAATTTACCTCACTGAACAGGTCCTTCATTTTGTTACTGTGCTGGAGATAAGGTGTCAAAAACTTAGAGGGATCCACTTTTGTCCTTATTATCTTCTTTCTGACTGGAGGTGCTCCATGCTCGACAGATTTTTCACGATGAACACAAGGCTCTTCATGCTCAACTGTATATACAGTAGTTTGCGGACCTGTGAATTCTGTGGTCTCAGTGATCACCTAGGAATAAGGAAGAATAATTATTTGCTTTATAATTATAAATCATCAATTTATTGTTAGAATTTCTGAACTTCTAAATGGATTCTCACCTCTTAACCAGTAACCATCTACAACGAAGAAAAACAGTGACGCTTCTCCTACTGGGATGTATAGTGGGCACACTATACATCACTCAGACTAGAAGCACAAAGAATTAACTGTCTGGCTTCAGTATCCAGCTCATGTAATTACTCTCCAGAGGCACTGGGAGAGAGCAGCTCCTGGCCTCCATTCTGTATGTGCAACTTCCACTGGTATCCCCTCGTGCACCACCTGAGGGGTGGTACTTGCAGCTAAAATAGACATCCCAGCAATGAAGATGTTGACATCACACATGTTGCACAGACAGGGCTCCTAATGATGTAATGATGTCCCTGAAAGCTGTGCAAATAGGCTAAATATGAAAGATAAAAAAAAAAAAAAAAAAAAAAAAAAAAAAGGAGGAGCTGGAATACTATTTGCTGAATGTTTAAGCAGCATTTAACTCTCAATATGACAGTGGGATTCAAACAACAGAAGCTAGACTAATACAGATTACCTTTGCTTGTTTTGTGTGTGTGTGTGTGAAAGAGACATCAGTGATGCATTTTGACATACTTGACTCTTTCTTAAAGTAAATTAAAAATCCTGACATGAATTTTATCAAAATCATCTTTAAAAGTTTTGAATGCATTTTGAATATGAATGTGGCTTCTGATATGGAAAGGAGAAGGGAATTTGACCCGTTTATCACAGAAGTACTTCCAAAAAGTTCTTAGTGCAACTAGATTTTTCAAACATCATTCCATCAAAATCAAGAGATGGCTAAGGATAAGGCATAATATATTTAAGAAAAATAGAATTTTATGTTAAAATGACTATTTTCAGATTATTTTAGTTAATTTAAAAATGCTTATGCTATTAAAATAATACAAACAAATCAAAATGTGCCAATGGAAAACAATTTTCTCTAGTACAATGTAAAGAGCAAGTCAAAAATGTAATAGATCTGTTAATTCCAGTGAGTGTATCTGTCTCACTGGTCTGTAAAATACATTTCCTGTAAAAGTAGTACTTATTTCATGCCTGGAAAGATGTATAAAATCTCATAAACGTGCTATGAGGGTATAAAGAGAGGAAAAAGTGTTTTGATAGAGGAAGTCTGCAGAGTAATGATTAACCAAGCAAGATATTTGCTTGCATAGCAAGAGGAAGAATGGTTTTTTTTGTTCAAGGAGTGTGCTGAGAAAGCCAGGATGGGAAAGCAGCTTATGAAGAGGAAAAAATACTGGCAAATAAAGATGAGAAAACAAGGAAACAAGGAGAGGCACCTCTGATACTGCACTTTTGAAGAACTTTTTGTGAAATATCCTTCTCCTCCTCAGCTCATCTGAGAATTTCAAAAGTGAAAGAGAAATAGTAGGTGAGCTAACGAGACAAAAAATAGATTCCAGTAGTCTTTTACTTTGATTTTCTTTAGAGCAAAGAGGTTTTACAGCTCCATTATACAACTGAGCTTTGTGTAAAGAGGATATAATAATATAGTCAGCCAGGAATTTTAAGCATCCAACTTTCCTGCATTGCAGAAAATTACTGAACAGCACTGCCAGGCTCTCCTTTACTTGACATGATCACAGACGTGGATGACCTATTCAGTACAACTTCGAAGAACAGAACTGTTTAAGGCTCATGGGTTGCTTTCCTTAATCAGAGAAATCACCCTACTGGCCTTTCAAGTACAGAAACACACTGTCCTTGGGCTCAGTGGCAGATAAAAACGGAACCATGAAGCCTAACAAACACTTTCTGTTAATAGCATTTCCAGACTTGATTTTGAATGCCAAAACCAAGAATAGGACCTGGAAAGTGGGCAGAGTCCATTTCTTTTCCATCTGCCTTAGCAGAGAATATCCCTAAAATGATGAAGTATGAAATGATGATTTTATTGTAGTCTTCTAGTTTCTGAAGGGATCTGAACCCACAGCATTTGTGGAGTTCATCTCATCTCTAAAAAATTTAGCCCAACCTAATCAGAATTTGACAAGGAAATATAATCACTTTAGTTCTACCTATAAGACTGATGCCCAGAATCTTGTGTTGATATCATCCAGTTTTGCTCAGAATATAGAATCTATCATCCATGGTTTCTCTGATAATCTGTGAAAAATGAAACAAAGATTCAGAAAGGCAATTCTCAGCTAAGGCTGAACCATTTTGATGATAGATCAGTTACCTCCAACTTCCACTGTATTTAAAGCAGGAATAGAGTATTTCAAAATATGGATTTCAGTCACACTTCCGCATCTCTAGAATGACTTCTCATCAAGCTGTCCTATGCTGAAAGCTGGATAGACCTTCTCCAGGCATAATTTATTAAAAGCAGAAAATCTACTCCAAGAAATTGGAAAGCAATGGTAGCAATACAAATTAGACTATTAATCCTCGAATAAATTTGTGGTAGTCATAGACTATACACCAGGGGCACTTGACATTTTATGACAATTTCTAGGACATTTGCATTTTCCAGCTTCACCTTCTTGGTGCTTTACAACTCTGGGCAATGGATCACAAATACTTTTCCTAACAGTTTACCTTGTTAAAATCTAGTGCAATATCTATGTTAGCATGATTCCCTCCAAGATTTCAGGTTCATTATGAAGTGGAATAATGAGATACATCTACAGCATATCTAAGATATTTGAGATATCTGCGACCCAGTTAATCTTGGTAAACAATGCAGTGAGGATGCAGCTGCAAAGTTTAGAAGCAGAGAAATGAAGCCAAGAATTCTCCACTAAAAGACAGCCAGAAAGCTCTATACTGGAAGCAGAGTGTTGTCCTGAAGGAATACATTTCAATTATAGAATGTTCAAGATGAGAAACTCTGAACTATTTCATGCTTGTCTGCCTCATGGTGGGTTGTTATGGTACAAAATAGGTGGTAAGATCAAATTCAGAGTGCTATTATGTGGTTTTAAGGTACAAACAAGCCTAGTCAGCTCAAGAGCTCAATAGGCACAAAAGTTACCTCTCCCTTTCATTTAGCCTGGGACGGTGGATATTTCATTATGATTTTGTACCAGAAGTAGGGGAATAAAACGTGCTATGCATTTAATTGTATGACTGGTCTCTCTTGCTATACACACTCTTGCACATGGCCCTGCATATATGCATTGCATACGTAATCACATCTTTTTCAGATTCCTGGAATTCACAAATAGAAAGAGTTTTTCCAAATTACTCTTTTAAAGGCTCTACATTGTTATTTCAAAAACCATAGTCTGACTAGGTTTGTTGATCTGTGTTCTGAAATGAAAGTGCTTTTTAAAGTAGCCATTTATTCCCATCTTGAAGACTTCATTATTGTATCTGTGATATTATTTAACTTCAACACAGCATTTATGATTTTATTCTGACTAGTCTCTGACTTCCTTTATACAGTTACATAGGTTGTGTCATAAACTGTCAGATCTTTCAAAACAAGGACAACAATTCTCTTCCCACTAAAAGTAATAGTGGAACTTCAGTTTACTTTAATTGTGCATGATCTCTATATGCTGATTTTTCTAGATATTTCTTTAATTTCACCTTATTCTATTGCTCAGAAACTGATATGGCATGCATCTGCTATCATGCTACATACTGGAGAACTTATAGTGGCAGTGACTGCTGCATTCAGTGCCAGCAAATATGTAACAATGAGAACCTAAATATACAACAGAGAATAATTGTTCCCGAGACAACTGTAAATCTTAGCCCAGGAACATAGTTTTGAAAGGTAATATTGACATTTATAGACTAGATACTGTAAATCATCAAAGATCCATTCACTTCAGAAGAGCTATGGTTGCTCATGCCATCTCAAGAACTACACCTGAATTCATGAGGAATATGCTTATTCTTCATTGCCTTTCAAAAAACAAGGAGAGAGCTAACATTTACATAGAAATGAAGTTCAGAAACCCACGTTCAAAGAGAAAAGTCTAATGTCTTTAAACAGACATGAATGAGCAAATTCAGTGCACAAGACATAAACCTTTTAGATTTGCTTTTCAAAACTTCAAGGACAGGAAATTGAATAGTATAAATCCCTACTTTGCCATGTGGAAACTCCGGGGCATTTTAGAACTGGGGTCCAGACTTAATTTTGTCTGTTTTTCAGACTGTTCTTAATTCCACCACTTTTAAAAACATTGCCTGGTTCATAGCAACTGTATGAGGAATTCGGGTTAATTAGCCTTGAATTGATATGGCTGACCAAATAGGTCCACCCAGTTTTCATCTTCCCTGCTGGTATTGAGAATCCAGTTCAGGTCTGAGGCGGGCACATAGACTGTGATGTGCTGCTAGATGCAGGGCCCTGCAGCATTAAAAAAAAATGGTTGGAATGAAAGCTATGATAATCTTAATATCCTGGCCAGACTTCACAGGAAGGATGGCTGTGTGCACAAGGTGAAGAGCAGCTAATAAAAGGATGGACTAACTGACATTTCTTAAACAACTGTTGTTGAATTCAGAAAGTGATGTTCCAGACATGTCAGCAGTGGCAGACATAAAAATTCTATATTGGATATCTAAAATCTGGAAAGCCATACACAATCTCAAAAAAAAAAAAATAATAAAATAAATAAATAAAACAAAACAAAATAAAATAATTCACACTTCGGTTACTTTGTGAGGATTTCAAGTTTCATTATAAGCTTTATTTCACTTTTCTTTGGACTTGCCCAGACAAGTTATCCTGCTTTATTATATACATTTCAAATATGTTATATTAAAATAGAGTAAATTTGGGGTTATCCATGGGTAAAAATGCTGAAATATGTGAAAGCACACAGAACATTTTCATTGGCTTTTTAACCCCAAATCAACCAGTCTGATTTAACAAATATGGAACAAAAGAGTGAAAACAATCAGCACCTGTTATTTGATAGGAACAAAGTAAATGTCAGGCCAAAGGATTAGTTGTTTTGAGAAAGTTATAAGTATCTGAAAAGAAGGATTTATAATGAATGTGCCCCTTCAACCAGAACAAGAACACTGCAACTTCAAAACTATCATAATACTACATACAATACCATTGGGAAATAAACATTATCAAAAAATCATATTATCTCTGTAACTGTGCTACAATATGAATAATTTCAATAACTATAACTGCCTCCCTACAGTTACTCTGCAGATATTTTTCTACTCCAAAGTGCAGTGGGATCCAAGGTTTTTCAAACTTTGTTTGGGCCCAGAAGATACAGAGTGCCATGATTTTTTTTTTTTCTTTCAACTTCTACAGGTTATTTCTTCTGCTCAGTTCCTCCAAATGTTCCAAAAAGCCTTTACTTGGAGAAAAAACATTAACT